TTATAGTCCAGTACTCGGGAGAGGCTGAGCAGGAGATTCCTTTGAATCTCGGCTCACTGCAACCTCCGCCTCCCAGGATCAAGCAATTCTCCTGCCTCAGCCTCCCGAGTAGCTGGAATTATAGGCAGGTGTCACCACACCCAGCTAATTTTGTATTTTTAGTAGAGATGGGGTTTCACCATGTTGGTCAGGCTGGTCTCAAACCCCCGACCTCAGGTGATCCTCCTGCCTCAGCCTCCCAAAGTGCTGGGATTACAGGCATGAGCCACCAGGCCCGGCCTCAAAATTTTAAAAATAGAATTACCACATACATGATCCAGCAATTCTACCTCTGAGTATGTACCCAAAAGAATTGAAAGCAAGGTCTCAAAAAGATATTCACAGACCCATGTGCATGGCAGCTTCCTTCACAACAGCCAAAAGATGAAAGCAATCCATGTGTCCATCGATGGATGAATTGATAAGCAAAATGTGGTATATTCGTACAATGGAATATGATTCATCCATAAAAAGGAAGGAATTCGAACACATGGTACAATATGGATGAACTTCAAAGTCATTTTCCTCAGTGAAATCAGACAGACACAAAAAGACAAAGTGCATGATTCCATTTACATGTCATACTCAGAGTAGTCAAATTCATAGAGGCAGAAGGTAGTACTGTGGTTGTCAGGGCTAAGAGAGGAGGTGACAGGGAGTTAAGTGTTCAATGGGCATAGAGTTCTAGTTTTACAAGATGAAAAGGGTTATGGAGATGGATGGTGGTGATGGTTGCACAACGTTACGGATGTATTGTATTTATACCACTGTACTCGACACTTTAAAATTGTTAAAATGGCAAAATTTATGCTATATGTATTTTGTAATAATAAATAAAAAGCACCCGGGTGTGTGAGGGGGGGATAAGAGACATGTACAGAACCACTTCAGTAGGTGATACATACACCCAAGGAAATAATAATGTTATAAGGAGCACCTGGGAGTGACAATTTCAGAATATCTGATGCCCAAGACCAGATTTAGCAAAAAGATAGCGGGGATAGGAGACAGGAGCCAGCCTTGGCAATATGAAGGACCCCTTCTGTTCAGACAAGAGAAAGGGGGAAGATCCCCTTCATCCTACCTCATTCCTCTCCCTGAGAACACCCCTCCATCTACCAGGTTGCCAGAGCTGGAACCTTTAATGTCATCTCTGATTCTCCTTACTCTCCACATCCAATCCAGGTGTAATTCTTCTTCATCCATCTCCAAGTTTCCAGAGTCCATCCACTTCCCTCCCATATCCACTATGGTACCCAACCTTAAACTGCCATTATCTGTCACCAGGACCATTAGCTTCTCAACTGCTCCCAACTTCTAAGTTTGCACACCCACCCCTAATCCATGCTGAGAGAGAGAGAGATCGATCTTTTCCAATATAAACTGAATCAGGTCACCACCCTAATTAAACTGCCTCCCTGGCTCTCCCAACACACTTGGAATACAAACTAAACTTCATCTGTGTCCCTCAGGGTCCCATATGATCTGGACCTTGCCTACCTCTCCAGCCCTCTCTCACAGCCTCATTCAGGAGGCTCCAACCTCACTGGTCTTCTCATTGGTTCTAGAGTAAGACAAGCATGGTCCTGGCTTAGGGTCTGATATGGTTAAGTTTTATGTCCCCACCCAAATCTCTCGAGTTGTAATCCCCAGGTGTTGAGGGAGAGACTTTGTGGGAGGTAATTGGATCATGGGGGCAGTTCCCCCCATGCTGCACTCATGATAGTGAGTGAGTTCTCACAAGATCTGATGGTTTTATAAGTGTTGGGTAGTTTTTCTTTGGCTTGCTCTTCTCTCTTCTGCCACCATGTGAAGAAGGTTCTTGCTTCCCCTTTGCCTTTTGCCATGATTGTAAGTTTCCTGAGGTCTCCCCAGCCATGTGAAACTGTGAGTCAATTAAACCTTCTTTGTCTACAAATTACCCAGTCTCGGGTAGTATCTTTATAACAGTATGAAAATGGACTAATACAAGGTCTCTGTATTTGCTCTTCCCTCTGTCCATGTGCTTTTCCCCTAAGATATCTGCATGGCTTCACTTTTCATCAGGTCCACACTCAAAGGCCATCTTCTGTCAGAAGGTCGACCACTAATTAAAAATAATACTGTGGTCACTCTCCAGCCCCTTATCATGAATTATTTTTCAAGATAGCATTTACTATGATCTGACATTATAATATATATTTATTTTTGTGTGTGTTCATTCATCATCTCCTTCCCTGGAGTGCAAACTCCATTAGGGAATGAGCCTTCACTGTCCTGCTCATGACTGAATCCCCTGCATTTAAAATAGTATCAGGGTCCCAGCATGTCTCAAAAGTGTATGCTAAAATCATGGCGATTCAACCATCCTTGAATTACTACCATGTGCTGGGCACTGGGCTGAGTGCTTTATTTGTGGATTATGCCTAACTCTCATACCCACATTTTGAGATAAGTACTTTCCCTATGAGAAAACCGAGGCTCAGGTAACATAAATGACTTTCTCAAGCTGGCATTATTTGTCCCGTGTAGGGGAGCTGTCTGCCTAGCAGGGTAATGCCTTCAGACCCTGAGTTCTCAGAAGATTATGAAGCCACAACTAAAAGTGATACCAGTGTGTAAGCTACAGTCAAGGACATTTAGTCAAGTTCTGATTTTACTCACTATCACTGTTTTGATTGTTTTTGGTTTTTGTTGTAATTTTTTCTGGAAATACCCTGTTTTAAAAAAATTGTATGCCCCTTGCTTTGCTGGTGCCCAAAACACATTCTAGTTTTTTTTGTTGCTGTTTGTTTGTTTTGAGACAGGATCTTTCTCTGTCATCCAGGCTGGAGGGCAGTGGTGGATCATAACTCACTGCAGCCTTGAACTCCCAGGCTGAAGTGATCCTTCCACTGCCTCAGCCTCCTGAGTAGCTGGGACCCATAGGCACATGCCACCATGCCTGGCTAATTTTTAAGTTTTTGTAGAGACACAGTGTTGCTATGTTTCCCAGGTTGGTCTCAAACTCCCAGTCTCAAGGGATCCTCCCATATCAGCCTCCCAAAGCACCATGTCATCCCAAACACATTCTGAATCTGCTTATTGGAAGCCACAGCCCTGGACTTGAGCCCCTCTATTAAGCTCTCTCTCCTGGATTGTTTGATAGGATATCATGTATCTGACACATTAAGGAGACCTTTGAGAGACACTGAAGACTCAGGAGGAGGAACACACCATTCCTCTTTCTGGAAGCATACCAAGTCCTTTTCTTTCCCCTCAGAAATGTAAGAGCTGGGCAAAGCTAGACCCTCTTACCTCTCCTCCACTTCCCACCCCCATTTAATCCCCTCTGACCCCAGCACTGACCTCTCAGGAAAGACAGGTCTCTCTCAGGGTGAGTTCTGACCAGTCTTCCCTTCTTGAATTTGCTTCCGAAGTGGGTTATGGAAACATAGGCCCCCAGTGCAGGGAAGCCAGCATGGTGAGGGGTGAACTCGAACCAGGTCTCTGCAGAGGAAATACAAGGGCAAGTGAGTCCCAGCACAGAACTTGGAACGTAGCAGGTGTGCAGGAAAAGAAAATCTATTAATGAGGAATTACAACCATGCCAGGAGAATATCAGAGATGGACCGTGTGGTGTCAGAAACCACTGGGGATCTCATCCTCAGACCTGAGTCTTTACACTGCTGGTGGCAGCTCATAACTTCCACAGCAGCCTGTTTCCAGTATTTTCCAGAGCTTGAACCCTCAGCCCTGCCTCTCTCTTCCGTCTCATTGTGGCTACAACTCCACGGAACCCTGGAGTGCAAAGGAAGAGTGTAGCCACATGATTGCATGGAGGTTTGTCTGTGGGCATAAATCTAATGCATGATTCCAATGTGAGTCATTAGAATATTCCAGGCAAGAAAATGACATGATCAGATTTTCATCCTGGAAACTTCCATTAGGTAGCCAGGGAAGGAGGCGGACAGCTTGGGATGGGCGGGCCAGTGAGGAACTAATTACAAGAGTCTCCCAGGAGACTGGGAGACCTGGTCTGGGGGTGATGTAGAAGAGCACAAAGGATGAAAATGAGGAGGGGGTGATTTCTAGGGCTGGGAAGGACTGAATTTGTGGGGCCTATGGAATGGATGGAGTCAGCTCTATCTGCTCTGGTGAGAAAACAGCACAAGGAAACACACTGAGGAGAGAGATAAAACATTCACGGCTGGGCGCGGTGACTCATGCCTATAATCCCAGCACTTTGGGAGCCCCAGGCGGGTGGATGACCTAAGGTCAGGAGTTTGAAACCAGTCTGACTGACATGGTGAGATCCTGTGTCTACTAAAAATACAAAACTTAGCCAGGTGTGGTGGCGCATGCCTACAAACCCAGCTACTTGGAGGTTGAGGCAGGAGAATCACTTGAACCCGGGAGGCATAGGTTGCTGTGAGCTGAGATCGCGCCATTACACTCCAGCCTGGGCAACAAGCGCAAAACTCTGTCTCAAACAAACAAACAAACACCATTCACACTGAGGGCTTCTGAGCCTTGAGATGCCGGGAGATGTCCAACCACTGGTAACTGGTAACATTGCCTGATATATCGTGAGAAGCCAGGACACAGTTGCTGAACAAGTAAGTGCACAAGTAAGTGCTTAGGAAATAGGGTAAGGAGGTGTGGATCTCAGGAGAGAGATGAGCTCAAAAGAGAAACTGGAATGACTGGAGAGCTGCCAGCATTTGGGTGACAATTGGACCTATGGAGAAGGAAGACATCTAAAAAGTGACAGATGGCTGGGAGCCGTGGTTCACGCCTGTAATCCCAGCACTTTGGGAGGCTGAGGCAGGTGGATCACCTGAGGTCAGGAGTTCGAGACCAGCCTGACCAACATGGAGAAACTAAAAATACAAAATTAACCGGGCGTAGTGGCACATGCCTATAGTCCCAGCTACTAGGGAGGCTGAGGCAGGAGAATCGCTTGAACCTGGGAGGCGGAGGTTGCAGTGAGCCGAGATCGTGCCATTGCGCTCCAGCCTGGACAACAAGAGAGAAACTCCGTCTCAAACAAAACAAAACAAAACAAAACAAAACCAAACAAAAGTGAGAGACAAGCTTTCCCACCCACCCCACCATCCTTCAAACATCCCTTATTATAGTTTTCTTTCCTTTTTTTTCTTTTTTCCTTCCTGTCCTCTCTTTTTTCTTTCTTTTTTCTGGGGGGGGGGACAGGGTCTCACTTTGTCGCCCAGGCTGTAGTGCAATGGTGCAATCACAGCTCACTGAAGCCTTGAATTCTGGATATCCAGTGATTCTCCTGCCTCAATCTCCTGAGTAGATTCTTCAGGTTCCTGCCACCATGCCTGACTATTTTATTGTGTTTTTTTGTTTTGTTTTGTTTTGCTATTTAATGTTGCTGTTGTTTTGAGATGGGGTCTCACTATGTTGCCCAGGGTGGTCTCCAACACCTAGTTTCAAGCAATCCTCCCACCTCAGCCTCCCAAAGCACTGGGATTACAGGCATGACTGGGATTACAGGCGTGAGCCACCATGTTGACCTCTTAAAGGTTTTCTTGATCCATGCAAAGCAAGTGCGTGTCCTCTGGTCACTTCTGGGACTTCCCTCTTCTCTCCTCTAAGCTGAGCACCCTGTTTTCCGCAATCCTGAGCCCTTCCCTCTTCCTGGGCTCCCCAAGAGAAGGGCAGGGAAACACTCTTCCATTTCGCTCCATGCCGTTCCATCCCTTACTACCTCTCCCTCCTTCTAAATGTTTGCTTACCCTGTGCTTTTGCCTCCTGCCAGGAGGGTTGTAGGTCGTTGTCAATGGCTGCAAATATCGGGTAGGGTAGTGTCCCTTCTTCCACGGGCTTCTTCATATTGGACAAATGGGACTCCGGCAGCTTTGGGAGAAGGTGCCAAGACGAAGTGTGAGGGAGCATATGGGTTCCACAGGGTGGAACCTCTGCATGTAGGCCAACCTTTTTTTTTAGAGGGGTCTCAGTCTGTCACCCAGGCTGGAGTGCAGTGGTACAATCATGGCCCACTGCAGCCTCAACCTCCTGGGCTCAAGCAATCCACCTGCCTCAACCTCCCAAGTAGCTGGGACTACAGATGCATGTCACCATGTCCGGCTAATTTATTTTTTGATAGAGACAGGCTCTTGCTATGTGGCCCAGGCTGGTCTCGAACTCATGGCTTCAAGCAATCCTCCTGCCTCGGCCACCCAAAGTGGCTGGATAGGCTAGGTGCAGTGGCTCATACCTATAAATCCCAGCACTTTGGAAGGCTGAGGTGGAAGGATCACTCGAACCCAGGATTTGGAGACCACTCTGAGCAATGAGGCAAGACCCTGTCTTTACAAAAAAAATAAAAAATAAAAGACAATTAGTCAGGCACAGTGGTGGGTGCCTGTAGTCCCAGCTACTTGGGAGGCTGAGCTGGGAGGATTGCTTCAGCCCTGGAGGTCAAGGCTGCAGTGCACTCCAGCCTGGGTGACAGAGTGAAACCCTGTCTTAAGAACAAACAAAACAACAACAAAAGCCCAAAGTGTTAGGATAGGCTGGATGCAGTGGCTCATACCCATAATCCCAGCACTTTGGGAGGCTGGGGTGGGAGGATCACTTGAACCCGGTAGTTGGAGGATTGCTTGAGCTCAGGAGTTTGAGACCAGCCTGGGCAATATAGTGAGATCCCTGTCTCTACAAAAAAAAAAAAAAAATTAAAATTAGCCAGGTATGGTGGTGCATGCCTGTTGCCCCAGCTTACTCAAAAGGCTGAGGCAAGAGGATTGCTTGAGCCCACAAGGTCAAAGCTACAGTGAGCTATGATCCTGCCACTGTGCTCCAGCCTGGGTGACAGAGCAGGACCCTTTCTGAAAAATGAAATGAAATGAAATGAAATAAAATAGTGAATTCAAGACATCAAATGGCCAAGGAGGGATGGAGAGGAAAGTTGTCTTGGGTCTGAGACTTTCCCTATTTTTGCCTTATTCCATCATAATTCCTCATTGTTCTTCTTGCCCTGGATGTCTGTGTATCTTTCTAGTAAATCATATCACTTTATTTTTTGCATAAATGAATAAGAGTCAGTTTCTGTCACTTGCAACCACAGTCATTCTGATATACTTAAGTTTTGAGGCATCCATCGAAATGCCCAGATTTTGATGTCTTGAAAGTCCTGAAAAACTTAAAAGGTGTGCCAGTCAGTATCTTTGGCAACCTCACGCCCTGAGACCCCTTGCTCCTACCCCCACCCCAGGTCCCCAGCAGGGAATGACTTACTTCTCTGGTTTGCTTGGAGATAACCATGTAGGCCCAGAAGTCGGTCAGAGAGTAATTCTCAGACCTCGCTGCTTGGACGGTTTTCTGTAGGCTCTTAGCCAAGTCCCACTCCTGTCGGCTAAATCGATGTCTCAGGTCAGCCTCGAGAGCTTCCATGTCACCGTCATTGGTGTAGAGAGAAGATATTGCCCTGGAGGACAGAGGAAGAGAGTGAGTTCGGCATTGTATGTATGGACGATGAAGACTGGGGAAGGGTGCGTGGGAGGAGGTCCTTCACAGGAACACCTGCCTCACGGAGAGGGTGACACGCAGAGGAAACAGAAAATTTACATTAAATAAATATAACTGCAGAACGATCAGGGTCAAAGGAGGAGGCTCAAAATCATCTGGGACAATCCTTCTATTTCACAGGCAGGAAAATGAGAGCATGATGGGAGAAAGGCCTCATCTGAGTCAAATGTTTTTTGCAGCCGGCATTTATTAAAGGTTTACATGTGACAGCAACAAACTGTCTTTAGTCTTTTAGACCTATTAACTCACATAATCCTAGAAAATCAATGAAAGGGACCAGGTGTGGTGGCTTATGCCTGTAATTCCAGCCCTTTGGGAGGCCGAGGCGGGAGGATTGCCTGAGGTCAGGAGTTTGAGACCAGCCTGGTCAACACGGTGAAACCCCATCTCCACTAAAAATACAAAAAAATTAGCCAGGCGTGGTGGCATGCACGGTGGTGGGCACCTGTAGTGCCAGATACTCAGGAAACTCCGTCTCTACTAAAAACACAAAAATTAGCCAGGCACGGTGGCACACGCCTGTGGTCCCAGCTGCTCAGGAGGCTGAAGCAGAGGAGTCACTTGAACCTGGGAGGCCGAGGTTGCAGTGAGCCGAGATTGTGCCACTACACCCCAGCCTGGTGACAGAGCACAACTCCGTCTAAAAAAAAAAAAAAAAAAAAAGACTTGATATTCATTTGTTCACTCAATAAATATATGTGTGTGTGTGTATATATATAAAATATATATGTATGTATATATATCTTTTTAAATTTATAAAGAAAAGAGGTTTATTTAGCTCACAGTTCTGCAGGATGTACAAGAAGAAGCATGGTGCAAAAAGCTTCTACTCATGGCAGAAGGCAAGGGAGCTGATGTGTCACATGGAGTCTATATATATATATATAATTTTTTTTTTTGAGACAGAATCTTGCTCTGTTGCCCAGGCTGGAGTGCAGTGGCGCAATCTCAGTTCACTGCAACCTCCACCTCCCCGGTTCAACGATAAGACAGGGTCTTGCTCTGTTGCCCATCACCAGTGCGGTGGTGCAATCATAGCTTACTGCAGCCTTGAGCACCGGGACTCAAGTGATCCTCATGTCTCAGCCTCCCAAGTAGCTTGGACTACAGGTGTGTACCACTATGCTTGGCTAATTTTAAAAAATATTTTCTTTTATTGTAGAGATAGGGTTTCACCATGTTGCCCAGGCTAGTCTCGAACTCTGGGGCTCAAGACACCGTCTTGCCTCAGCCAACAAAAGTGTTGGGATTACAGGCATGGGCCACCACGCCCAACCTTCAGCTCTTTCCATCTATCTCCACCAAGCGAGAGGAACGGTCACAGCCCTCACCTCTTGACACTCACTGTGCATTCCATTACACAAATGCTCTGCTTCCCCGCAGTGGTCAGCTCTGAGACGACTTACCTTCCCATGGTGCACTGCGGTCAGAAAATTCTCAGTCCTCCTGCCAAACAAATGGCTCTTCTTAGACCTGTGTCCACTGTTGGGCTTAGCAAAGACAGTGGGGGAGGGCCGGGACTGTCACGGGCTCATGGGTTCTTCTTGTCCACTGCCCAGACAAAACCAATGTGAACAGCAGGTGTTGCAGCAAAGAGAGAGAGTTTAATAATCTCAGGGGCAGCCAAGAGAGGAGAATGGGAGAAATGGGAGAAATGTTTCAAGCGCATCTCTCTGAAAATTTGGAGGCTAGGGTTTTTCCTCTCTGTCTTTCTCTTTTTCTCCTCTCTCTCTCTCTCTCTAGATGAAGTTTCCCTCTTTATAAAAGTTGATATACCACACACTATACTACCTATCTACTCTCATAAAGAAAAGAGTTCATCTTACGCTCACGCTCCCCTGGCTGCGGATTGCTACCACAGCACAACGACACTGCTGCAAGCTTCTACAACTTACACAGAAGGAGCAAACCGGAGACCCGCCATGAGTGTACCACTGGAGTCTATATATACCTCCAATAAGCAAAATCTTTTTTTTTGAGCACACAGGTCTTAGCTCTGATTGACACGAGCTCAAGTGCAGTGCTGATCTTGGCTCCACTGGGCCAGCCTTCAAATCCCTGGGCTCAAATGATCTCCGCACCTCAGAGCCCGACGTAGCGTGGGAACCACACTACTGACACCAGGTGACAATCACCCACATGCCCTGTTCCATCTTTAACACCTTTTCTTCTGTCACGAAGAGTTCACCTATGTTACG